GACTTTCGGATATATTTGGATAAAGTGCAGATATTATTCTTTGATTTTTTAGGGAATCGGCTTTGTTTTCAATTCACTTCGTCTGATCGACAGCACCGTTCATCTCATCATTTCCTTCTTTGATTTTGGAATATTCGTTGTGTCCAAAACTTGTCTTTCGAAAACGCACTGTTTATGCATAAAGTACGAGCAACGTGCACCGTATGAAGAAGTGTATCAGGCTATAATAACATCTGAAATCGTAATAACTTTATTTTTTACTTATTCACTTTCCAATTTCCGATTATTAGGTTGTTCGGACTTACAATCAATATATTGTGCCTTTCGATTTGAATGCAAAGGTCAGTTATCGATATTTTGAAAGGATAGTCGTTGGTTTAAATTGCTTGATCCTTATTGAGCAAGGTGAAGATGGCTTTCTCCGTTTCATTGAAGCTTTGTTATATTCTGCCACTTGCATCAGATGTCTAAATCCATTACCTGTGTCTCAGCAAAATTTTTTCCCTAAATCCAACTTTGCTGAATTTCGTAGTATATTTGCGTTGGGTTGACAAATAAATGCGATTAAAATGAAGCATTTCTATGAAGGTTATGTCGTATTGAAGCAAGAAGAATTGATATGATAAACTGAGATTATGATATGTAAACAGTGCCCTTTCTCCTGTTGGAAAGTAGAAAAGACTCGATTCTATCTTATTATATTTCGATTATTTGCATTGAGAATCGATTCCCATCAAGTTGTGAGAGTGTGCTATTCGTGATGGTGACATTTACCAAATGTACGTTTCTAAAACGATTTTCGCGATTTTCATTCGTCATCCCCATGCTTTTTGTCAAATCCATCTCTGATAATAATAATGTAGGAAGTAATGATAAATAGTAATAGAAGTAATGACAAACAGTAATATTCGTAGTAGGACGAATGTACCTGATCAGCAATCAGAGATATGCTTCAAGTGCTATTGCTCTTTTTTATTTTCCACTTTATAAAACTGTTCTGGCTTGCAGCTTCACTGTTCATCTTATAGCACTACCTAATAATTTACAAAGTAAGTTTTGACAGAGCAATTTCTTATGAAATGAAGTGTGTGTGACATTTAAAATACATCTATTTTATCATAAACTTACGTTGGAATCGAGAATTGACACTGTCCCATCTGAGCACTACCATCATCATCAAAATTCACTTTCAATACCAGATAAAAGTTAGCCATAAAGACATTTAATCAACTTTTAAATTGGAAATACTTTTCAGCAATAATACAGTATTGTATAGAAATATAATAATAATAGTAAAAGCAACCGTAATGATATCAAAAACCATTGGAAAAAATAAACTGATTTTGGGGTAAGAGAATCATCCTATTAGTGCTTTTAATTGCTATCGTTGTTATTACATGTGGCGATTTGACCAGTTCCGTGAAATAAGTGAGAAGAGCGAAGAGACGAGAAGGTAATCAAATTTTTTCAATCATAAAATTTTTGACACAAATGAAAATTTTTAATATGATGATTTGCCGCCGTTCATACTGTCAACAACTATTATATTTGTCGTCCAGTTGATTTGTTCATAGTTTATTTTGTCCCATCATTTCATCAATACATACAGACGGACAAGCAGGCACAACCACACACACATACACACACATACACACATACACACACATACATACACATACACACACATACACACATACACACACATATACACACATACACACATATACACAGACAATAATCTATTAAACATGCTGCTCGAAATATGATTATCCTTTTTCGAAATTTCTTTTGTTGGACAAACTAATCTGAGCTGCTTATTCGGTAATGTTTTGCTTTGTTCGATGATGGTTTGTTGAATTTTTCTCTCTCTTTCCCTCTTTCCGGTAAAGGATGACTTACTCTGATGGGAAATTTTCTTTTTGTTGTTTTATTTTTTTAAATTATGCAATCAGCAATGAAAAGTGAAAACATTACCGAATAAGAATGGCACTGATCATTTTTATTCAAATTTTCATCGAGATAATTCCACGCTTACTTCAGTTATTCTATTGATTAACATAATGAATTTATTAATATATCAGTATTAATAACAACAGTGTTATGATTTACTTGCTGAAAATATGTTCCAAATGAGGCTACTTTTCAAACAGAGTTCATAATTTATTGCGAAAATCACTAAACGATTCAAATCAAGGTTGTTCTGTTTATAATAGAACATATTGATCATCATGAACTGATTCGTACTATTGGATCACTTTTACAGAGTAAAATAAAAGTGAATATACATTGCTTCTTAATCTAATGTATGTTCGACAATGTGCAAAATTCGTCTAGCAATTCACTATACTACATTGTCATCTAACATGCGTGTCTCCGCTAAACGCTACTTTCATTTTGCTGTAAAATTTCAAAGGTTATGTAGTTTTAATAAATTTATTTTGATAGTTAAGTTTTAATAAATTTATTTTGATAGTTTTTGATAGTTAAGGAAACATGGATAGAAAGGAGATATTATCAGACGAAAGAATGTTTCATTAGAGAGTAGAAATTTCGGGATCCGGAAAGGAAGGATGATGATAAAAGTAAGATAGTGATGGAAGAAAGAAAGGAAGCAGTTAAAATATACTCGTTTTCCCGTCCGAAATAATTAAACAATTAGCTGAAAGGAAAAGAGTAAATTTAAAAAAATCACTTACAAAATAATTCATAGGAATGTAAGAAAAAATGAATCGCCAGCTCGGTAATTTTGAAAAATATGCATTTCCCTTTAATTTCTCCTCCTTTCGCCTCTCCTTTTCATCTGTCATGAAGCAGTGACTACCATAATAAAGCTCTTCTTTCACTATTTTCAACCAAGCATTTCGTTTCCATCGTTTTCTTCTTTGTTGTCTAATAAAATATTATCTGTCTATCTGACTCGATCTATTCATCTTGCACTTCTCATCTCCTCTTTTCTCATCTCCCTCTTTCCCGCACCCCGCACCCCGCTTTAATATCACTTAGTCATTTTGATTCCATTAAGCAATAACTCTAAAACTGGGCTTCTTTTCAGATCTTTAGAAAAGTGTTATGATTTCTTTTTCTGGCAAATTTTAATCGCTTTGTTAATAAAATATTGCAATAAGCATCAAATTGCATTTATTGTGACTTTCTGCAGGTGAAAAATGATAATGGAAGAATAAAGGGGTTCAAGCTTACCAATAAAATTGATTATCTCTCTCTGCTAGCAACGGGAAAAAATAAGGCCAAAAGTGAGAAAAAGAGTCCATACCAAAAGAAGGTGGAGCCAGTATACTATCCAATCATCATTACTCATTCATTTCTTATTCCACTTTCATGTTAGGTAGGCCGCATTTTTTGAGGCCAACAAATTCAATTCTTCATTTTCCATTATCCTTGCTGCCAGAATTATATGCTCTTGAAACTGATCTGGGCCTGACAGGGCTATTTCGAATTTCGAAATTTTCTTCGTTCATTTAGACATGTGATCAGCAACAATAATACATCTCGAGAAATGAACATCACACCCAAAACTCATACTTCCACACACACACACACACACACACACACACACACACACACACACACACATACATACCGATGGACAGAAACTTACCATATACCCGGTTTTTTGCTGGCACTTCATCGAGCAACGCCCCTTCCGTCGATAATACGGAATGGAGGAATTCATTGGAACATATTTGCTGTCAGCAAACAAAGTTTTGGGGAAATTTTAAATAAAAGAATTAGAAATGAAGAAAAGAATGGATTTAGGATTTTATCCCTTTCAAATACCATCTGTGATTTTTGTAACAGATATAAATATCACCCGCTATTCTAATCTGATATCAACGATATTGTTAGTGTACTGATAAGTAGCCGGCAACTGTCTTCATGGATATTGCCATTTCAATCGTTTGAGGAGCGACCAGATGTCCAGATCTCGAGTGAAAACTTATGTTATGAGATTTAAATATAAGTTTTTAGAATGATTTTATTTAGTATGCCTTGGCATTTCAATAAGATAAAGTCCAATGTTCATCATTAATTTTGCTGGGCTGTTATTGGTTAGTCTGGACAACTGATACTTTTCTTGGTTTATTTGAGCTTTTTGAGGTTCCATCCTGCCTGATAGCTTCAGAAATAAAAATGTAGATAAAGTTTCGTGTCTCTGTTGTTGAATAGTTACTCAGATTCTCAGTTCGTATTTTTATTTCTCCCATTATTCAGTTCTCTTTTTATCCTAATATATCTCATTCGTGTCTAAGGTAAAATAAACTCTTATCAATGATTAAAAATCTCGCAAACCTTTCATGTTTTTTCGGCGTTAGAATTTTGATCAATTTGTTCATTGGCAATATTTTTTGAGAGACTTCGTATCTCTCCTAATTAATTCTAATAAGCTATTCCACTCCATGGAACACTATACTACCATTTTCCTCTGAAATTATTCCTTGCAAAAATCTGGTAAATCTGGAAAAATGGTGTTCATTAGAAAAAGTATTGATCGTGCCAATCAGGTAAGGCTTCATATGATATGTACATCATTCGCAATGTAAGGTATTAGCAATTCTATATGAACCACGAAAGAAAATTGGAAATAGAGAGATTGAAAAGAAGTCTTTTTATTTCATATTAACTGACATTCCTTTTTTTCTTGCTTATTATAATAATTGGAATTTTAATTACTGCTTCAAAATTTCTCATTGAAATAGAATGAAAATTGAGGCTGTTTTTAAGAATTTGAAACTTACGTGTCCAAAACTATCGTTAAATAGATATTATTTGGTTATCAAACTTTCATTTCTTATTTTGCATCCAGAATTTCAGAATTTTTAGTTTCGCAAAATTGACTTAGTGATTTGTTTATCTTCCGATAATTTGGTGATCTGTGATACTGTTATCTTTTTCAATCGTTTGCCTTAGTGAATGCTAAAGTCATGATTTCAAACTTTCTACAGTTTCCGTTTTTTTCAGAATATTTCCTTACGTGTTATTCAATGAATTCATTTTTTCCAGATGCTACAAGTTCAGTTGCCGCAAGCACTACATTGGTAACTTAAACATTTTATCACCGAATCCACTCATAATTGAACTCTTTTCGTAAAACCATAATTTATCGAAATCTAAAAACCCAAAAATTATCCGCAATCTGTTTCATTGATTATTTCACGTCTTCAGGCTTCTTCCTTCTCCTCATCATCATCATCATCATCCTCATCTTCATCCACATCGTCAATATTAGCATCAGTGCACAGTCGTCGACGTAAATCGACATCACCTTCCAGCCCAGAAAACAAACAATTGGAAGAATGCTGTGGAACAAAACGATTTCGAAGTACGAGTAGTCAGGATAAAACTAACGTCACTGCTACCAGTGTCAAGAACAAAGGAAAAAATAATGCTTATAGTATAACTAAATTGCTGGAAAAAAAAGAACCGAGTAGCAGTCGAGCCAGGTTTAAAATATTTTGATAAGTCAAATTAATGTTTTTATTTAGTACTGATATTTTGCCATTTTTCATGACTTTTTCGACCAAATTTAGAATTTTAATAAATGACAACAAGTCATTAAGCAACTTTT